TCGTGCAAAGTAAATCGCGAAGTATGAACGCAACTGAGGACGGTAGAGAGGAATGGGGTCACCGATGAGGAGGCTCCTTTATTAGTGCTCCAGTGGGCTGGCTCTGTCCCAATAATTAGCGTTGAGAATACCCTTAAGAAAACTCGCATTTCCTGGAAACTTTTCAAGTTTATAGAAAAAAAACGGCACCATTCACTATTACTACCTCAATTTTCCGAAAACCGGCCGAATCTTGATCCGCTGAAAACAAATCCGCTGAAAACTTGTACCCAGGGGTAGTTTGACCTCCTGAACACGAATATCACATCCGCTCGGCCTGAAACCGCCTGGCGCCCGCGCCACAGGCGCCGGCGCCAAAATACCCTAGGTCACCAAATCCGCTGAAAACTTGTATACGGAGGTTATTTGACATCTTGATTACAAATATCACATTCATTTTTGGCGCTGATGGAAGACGCTGCGATCATCTGCGCTCTGCTAAGGCTGAGCCTGACCTGAAGGAAATCACTCTTTCTCCCAGGCTCAGCCTTAGAAAAGCGCTAAATGGCGCTGGCGTCGAAAAATAAATGTCATATTCGTGATCAGGGCATCAAACAACCCCATTATGCAGGTTTTTATCGATTTTGATAAAAAGGTGTGGCGCCAAATCAGCGCCTAATGGCGCCAAATGGCGTCAGGGCTGAAAACTAATTCGGTATTCGTGATCAGGACATCAAATAACCCTACTATGCAAATTTACACCGAATTTGGTGAGAAAGGTGGCGGCGCCAAACTGGCGCCAATTGGCGCCAAGTCGGCGCCGATTTTCGGCGCCGGCGCCGAAAACGAGTGCTATATTCGTGATCAGGACACCGAATTACCTCTGTGGGCAAAGTTTCACCAAAAAATTTTTTTGACTTTTTGGGGTAGTAATAGTTGAATAGTGCCGAAAAAACTTTTGAAAACCGATTCCCAGCCAGGGGATAGGGTGTATTTGGTCGACGAAGGAGGGGAGGGGGTGTCGTATCTGCCCTTTTACACTTGACGCCAGTTTTCTGGCAAGGAAAATAAGAAGGTTGAGGATAGATAGGATGAGGAGGGGCGTGGTGGTACGAGGAAGAACTTATGAGGGGAGGGTCGTATTTTCGATAATTATCCCCGATTGCAGAACATGCTCTAGTCGTAACTAGGCTTGTCAGCCTCAACGGAACTGTTTACAATTGGCAACTTTCAGGTCACATCCGAGGATATCCCATGCACATTGCCTCCAAGAAGCCTACAGTAAGTGTGAACCGCTTGATAATTGCTAAGGAGAACGTTCTCTAACAGGGCCGCTATTTAGCCATCGAGCCGTCTCTCAGAGGAAACTCGTCTAATGTGGCAAATGGATGAGTTGAACTATACGACACATGCTGCTGCATTAAAAACCACTGCCATGACTAAGCTCGACGAGGAGAAAAAGGTGAGCGCAGGGACAGTATAGACTGACTTCAATGCTCAGTCGACGTTCTGGACCACAAAACATGGTTTTCGCACTCTATAAGGCCTCTCATGAGTGATTACCTTCATTTTCAGGAGCTTCCCACCGTACCGGTCGTTCATCTGCCGCTTCCGACAGTTGCTGAAACCACGACACATCCACCTGCCAGAAAAAGCTTCTATTCGACTCACACATTGTCCACTTGGAGACTGACAGCAGCACCTCCGACCACAACTACCACTGCTGCACCAGTTCCAAGAACACCATGGATACCGTCTGGAGTGCAGACTGAGGAGGAGAAACGACTTGTGGCCGGACAGATGCCTTTGCCTGTAGTGCGCCCTGAAAAAAGTACTCTAGAACGTTTGAACAGCGAGCCGCCATCAGCAACGGAGACCGTAGTGTTCCAGGTAGAAATTCTGTGTGATTTTAGATTACCAGCCACTACGGTAACGAGCACAGTCCACGCTGACGCTATGGGCGGAGTTAGTTCTTCTAATGTGTCTTTCGCTCCTCGTTTCCGAAGCGGTGACGTCCAGAATTATATCGGTAAAAAGACAGTAGTAGGCCTTTTTCCGCCCACATGGCCAGCGTGGACTATGTCCTTGTTTTGGTCAGGCTTATCCCTGGACACGAATATCGCACGCAGTTGGCGCGGGAACTCCTAACGCTCCAGCCTCAGGCGCCGGCGTCAAAACTGGCTTGCGACGTCGGTGACTGCGGCGCAGGCATCAGGCGTTATCGCTTTGAGTGGATGCCATATTAGCGTTAACAGGGTCAGTATACCCTCAGGAAACCAGCATTCAGTCAAATCTACCGGCTAGGAAAAAAAACTTACCAAAATATGGTCCTACTGAGAGAGGCACAAAACAGTACTTAGAGCGTGAAACCAATATCCACTAAACCCTGAAATTTTAGCGGCCAACAGTACCACTACCTCGTCCAGTGAAACACGGTTTCGATCGTAGTCTTGACAGGGCCATCGATTCCGGAGTCTTCAACTATCCACCCGACAATTCGCAACAACACCAAGATATTCCCAGGAATGGCAATTTCCAGGTGAGCAGCAAAGTCGGGTTTACTCTAACCCTGATGGTAATCAAGAAATCGATAACGATCGATCATATCATTGAAAAGATTTGTACCCGGAAGATGAAGCCAATTTCAGTCACAACTGTCGACGTTCTCCTCATCTGCGACATGTATCGCCCGTACGATGTTCGACCTATGGTGTGCCTGTCAGCTTCTCACCCTTTTCCCCTACCTAGTTGGAGTTTGTGCCGCCCGACGAAGTTTGTTCGTATCGCATCTCGTGCTAGACATTCTTCTCCTGGTCATCGGCTTTGTATACACGTGAGTTCCTCCGATTTGTGACCAAATCTCATTCGAACACACCCTGACTTCCTCACAACTCGATTTGTTGGCATCTGTACAGCGCGAAAACATCAGAATGATCGAAAAGTTCCGTTTTCAGACTGAAATGGAAGAGAATTTAAGGGTCACATCCGAAAAACGTTTTCTCTGAGTATGGATCTTAAGAGCAGTTCGCACCATTACGGTACTAACTCAATCGAAAAAACAGCATACTAACAGCAAACTAGAGAATCCTCGCCAGTTGTTATCACATTGTCTCGAAACTTATATTTTTCTTTTCTCAGGCACTTTTGGAACAATTATGGCGCCCCTCGGAAGCAGTCACGCCTCTCAAATCCAGGCCTAGCTTAATCCATGTTACTGTAAGAAAACGCCCTTTCCCAAAAAATTTTTCCGCAGCTTTTTTCTTCAGAAAAATTGGATTCAAACGGGGAACTACTTAAGTTTTCCAAGCTACATGTTTGCTCGTTCAGAGCATCGGGTTCCGATTTTCGAGTCCGTCTTGAGTGATGAAGGAAACTCCGGTCCCTCTGGGATAGGATTCCGACTCTAGTCCTATTCCTCCCACAATATTCGAGAAT